GGGATAAAAATAAATCGGGACCATCCGTCTATTTCCCTCATATACATTACTATCTCAAGAGTTCAAACTACATTCTGTTAGTAACGAAAAAATGTAAAGATAAAGCCTTTGTTCTCCTGTATGTGTAAAGCTATCAGATTTCTTGATGCTTATGAGCAATCATGATAAATACCTGTCAGTAAAAATAACTTAAATCATTCTGCATATGCTAATATGTTCGATAAGTGCAAATACATATCAAGTATTTACTAATGTCTTTCATTTTATGACGTTTTTGACACGACTGAACAGTTTTTTGTGCTTTTATTACAAATAGCGACAATTACTTAGTCGATGCCATAATGAGTGAGCTATTGATGACGGAATTGAGACAACAATCAACTCAAACTGAATCCCATTGTGACATCTGCGCTCAAAAATCTTCGCGTACTTTATGTGGGATAACATTTGAAAAATGGCTGAAATTTGAGACGACCGAACTAATTTCTTTGGTGTAAAAGAAATTCATGGAGCCATGTTCGACAATGTCAATTTGAGTAATGCTACTCTTCCGGCCGTCCAAATGTTGTTGACTAATGCTATTTTACCAAATGGCAGTTATGTATATAAAAGTTTTGATTCTGGGTTGACGGATATGTTCAACAGTAGCAACATAATTTTGAATGGTGATGCTGAATGGGATCCATGTGTAAATGACACAGAAATAATACCCGTCATCCATAACATCATTCATAACATCAGCCATCAAAGAATGTCTGCAGACAGATTCAAGTGTGGTAAATGATATAAAACAAATTGTTACGAATAATGATGGCGACTTTACTAAATCAATCAACCGTATCGCAGAATTATTAACCGTACCAATCACAAGTATCGTCACTCAACGTCTTGAACAGTTGGAATTAAAAATCGATGATTTGGAACGAAGATCACGTTCGCATAATCTTCGTTTTCATGGAATCAAAGAAGAAGAAAATCCTAAAGAACAGATTGTTGAGACAGCCAAATGTATGAATGTTGAAGTAGCTCATTTCACTGGTGGCGTCAGGGATGGTAAACGTGGCGTTATTGCGTGTTTTTACTCAAGCGAAATGTGCATGGAGCTGTTAAAAAAAAGAAAAAAACTTCAACAACCACAAGGCCGAAAATATGTCGTCTTCGAAGATTGTAAGCAGAGGACAATGGGCTTGTACAACAAAATGCGTACTAAATTATCGGATGGTAAAAAATTTCATGTCTATATTCGAAATGGTCGCGTGTTATACCGTTCAGAATTAAAAAGCAAGGCAAGATTAATCGAAACAGAAAAAGACACTGAAGAAATTATCAATATAGGATAATGATAAACAGCATCTAAACAGGTTCAGTTTTTTCAGTTTTTCCATTTCTTTTTGTTTCCGTCTTTGGTCTAGTTAGTCTCCTGATCTCCATATTGCGAAACATTTCTTTTTAATTTTGACCTTCTCCAGTTACAACATAGCCTCTTCCTTATTCTACTTCTATTTATTTTATTTTCTTACATTAGCAGACGTATTAGTGCAGTGCAGTCGGCAGAACAGTTAGGCGTGACATATTGATGCTCTCTACTTATTTCGGTTTTACTTTTTTTGTTATACTGTTGAAACAACGTGACGTTTATCTCCCTATTTTGCTTCCCTTTCTGTTCAGAACGTTTTCATGCATTTACCACAGAAGAAACATAGCACCTGACAGAAGTGTGACATATTTTTTTTTGAATATGATTAACTCCAAAAGTAAGGGCAATGGATGGAAAAAAGACTCAGCCTACATGATGAACATCAGAAGTTTGCGATCAAAATCGGAAACAAACAGTAGCGTGACTAAACTGAATCTTTGTGAACTCCTCCTTAATAATGAAAAACCGCTTTTCCTTGCAATTACTGAGACGTGGCTAAATAAT